CGGGGCGGGGGGGGGGGAGAAAAAACAACAACAAATCTCCCTTTGGTACAAAAGAAATCGGTTCTTCTTGTGACCTCAACGATAAACAGAGCCGAATGGGAGCGGGTGCACCTCCGCTTGCCGCCCCGGCCCACCGGCGCGGGCTTGGGACCCTACTGCCGTGAAAGAAACCAGCCGAAACGCCTCACTGGTGTTTGGCAGTAGAGGGGAGAGACGTGAAAATTACACACCTGCACCACTGGTCCTGGTGGCCGCTGGCCGAAGGCTCTTTCTCGTCCTCTTTCAAGAGCCAGCGTACCTGGTTTTAAACAAGAATGAGCTGAAGACGCCTAAGGCGAAATGATATAAGGGACTGACATGATAGAGGAGCTCAAATCCCATTTTCAGAAGTGGCTCAAGCAAACTGAACGTTAAGTCCCATTGAATCAATGAGCCCGAAAATCCTACGACCAGATTTTTAAAAGTATTTAAACATGTAAAGCCAGGGAGCATGGCATTTTCGAAATGAGCTGGAAACATTTATTGTTTTGAAAATAGTACTAAGCATCTTATTACGTTTAACACTCAAAAGATTTTTAAAAATCGGACTAAGCATGCTTGAGCACTTTCCATTTAATCTCTGCTTCTAGATAAACACTGGTGGTTTAGTGTAGACAGATACAGAGATCCATTTGCTTTCTTCAGTAATAACATTTGGTTATGTTTACTTCAGCTTTTTATAATTAAGTAAAGCTTGAGCTTAATAAAGTGAAATAAAAGGAAATACATTTTCTGAGATCTGACTTTAAAATTAGCAGATACTGTCAATTTTAGACATAAACATGGTAGAGCAAGCCCGAGGGGGAGGGAAACAACACCACCAGTATTTTTCAACCTTTCATGCTACTCTTTATTTTATGCCGTTTTGGTACAGTGAACTAATTCTGTGTTCTGTTTCCAATTAATCTTATATGTGTGTGTGTGTGTGTGTGTGTGTGTGTGTGTGTGTGTGTGTGTATGTATATAATTGATTAGAAACATAAAAATGTATGAATACATTTAGACACATACATATATAGATGCTCATATCCATGTGTATACACACACACACACACACACACACACATATATAGATGAATAAGTGACTATATATGAATTTCCTTATTTCAACTGGTATTTTTAACTTTTGCTTTATAAAACCTGAAGGCTGAAGATGCCAGGTGAACTGCAGATTAGACGAGAGTTTAGACCGAGGCCCATAGGATAACAGCAATGGCAGCAAGGACGGGCTTGCAGGTGCTCAGGCGCGTCACGGCGGGGAGGACC